ACAACATTACACAACATAACACACCCCACACTCAAACTTTTATCCAATAATATTTGCGTATTTCAGCACAATAAAAGTCTCTATTCTTAAGGATTTTTAAAAAAATTTTGGTGAGATCAGGAATACTGTTTATTCATAAATGGAACATGTATCTAAAATATTGAAGTTGGATGTGACTTTTTGCAGATTGTGGTGTGTCAGATGATTATTCTAGACAAAATTGTTACAGGATTTTTCTTTCAGTAAAAGAATCTGTTAGATATTTGTTACTCTGTTGATATCATTCTCATTCCTAAATTTTCCCCCACATAAAGAAACAAAGATGAGCATTTGCTAAGACTGCAGTAAAAGTTGAGTGATACATATTTAAAATAATAAATACATATTTTCATGATAAAAATGTTTCCATGATCCACAGTTTTAGTATCAGTTTTGTGAAGTGTATAACAAAAACCACAAATGCTCTTTTCCTTTTAGAGCAACCAGGAACAATTTAGAGAATTTTTGTTTGGAGTCCAAGGTCCAGCATTTTTTAGCACAGTTGACATTAAGAATTACAGTTGTCAATATGTACTAAATTTGAGGGCTATTAAAAGACTGCCATGAAAACGTGTTGTGAATATTTTAAGCTTTACCCCAAGTACAAAAGTCTATTAGGAAAAATTCTAAAGGGTTTCAAGTTTTCTTTAGTTTAGAACATTCGCATGAATAGTAGAGTATTCTTATTGTAATGAATGACATTTTGATTCCTATTTGTCTTCTTTCATTAGCTTTCTTTGTAATTATTCCAGCATTGTGATTTAGAAGTGGGGCAGTTTTAATGTTTCCCTTTTCTCCATGCCAAGAAGTCAAGTCATGATTATATTAATTACATAGCTTATTTATAAAGTAAAGGCCCTACTTTAACACTGATCAAAAAATAAATAATTTTATTGTTAAAGTTGGATTCCTGGATGAAGTTTTCAAATTTCATATTTTAGAGGCTGTATCTTTGTGTGCATATATATGAACATTACCATATACAGTTATTCACTGATCCTTACATCAGATAGTTTGTTAAATATCATATAGTTTCTGATTTCTTTGAATTTGTAGGCAAGTGTAAAATTGATGTGTTAGAAATGTGTTTTGTTTCAACATTTTAAGACAGACATAGATTATAATATATCTGATTTTGAACATTTTCTGCAAATTTCAGCTTATCAATATCTTCCTTAAAATTGCAGTGACTTTTCAAATAAGTATATGTGAAGGCTAATATTTTTTGGCCAGTCATACAAGGATGATTCCATTACACATCTGCAATCTTATTTGATACCACACTTGACCGGGCCCTTCCCCTCTTCCAGCTTGGTGTGGAGAATTGAACTCAAGGTCTTAGAATGCTGAGCAAACCAAGCACTCTGCCACTGAGCCACACCCTTGAAACTGTTCTTGCATTAAACCATAAGCCCTTAGCATACAAAATCTTTGCATATCCTATTCTCTAATCCCACAAGTAACTGCCAAAATATCTGCCAGCAATGGAGCATGCTCACTTAGTAATCAGAAATGACATGGGCTAGAGGAGGATTCTGGAAACATTGCTGAGATAGGCATTAACCTGTTATGTGGTGCATCTCAGGAGGTGGGCTTAGGTGCTGGGACAATCTGGAAGATGAAATAGTAGTTGACAGAGGACTGTTTGGACAGTGGCTGCTCACCACAATGTTTACCTGCTCAGAAGTACATAATAATTATTTGTCTGTTCCTGGAAATATTTCTTCCTTCTGTCATACTAGTACATCAATACTGTGTCATTTATTTTTTACCTCATGCTCCATTTTCTCAGAGATTCTTTTATCTTCTTGATGAACATTGTTGTCATTTAGGCTTTCTTAGAAACTACTGCCCTCTCCTTTACCTTTCTCAGGTGCTGGTTTATGAATAATGTGTAATCATTTAACAGTCATTCCTGCTAATCAATATAAACTATGAAAGTAGGGATCATTGATCTATTGACACCCCCCCCCACAACCTTGACCTAAGCAGTAGTAAATATTTATTGGATGAGTGAGATTTCAAAGAGATTTTAAAACTTCTTTCAGTGTATTTATTCTTTTAAAATCTTAACTGTTATGTACGGTTCCTTGAGGATTACTGTTATAAAGACAGTTTTTTAAAAATCCACTTATTTTCCTTTCTTATATACTTTCCTGACATAAATATAGCCCAGATTCTATGCTGTGACTTATCCTGTGGTTCAAGTAGAAATGCTTCTCATTCATAGTACGTCTAGTATAGAGATTAAAATCTTCTAAATTGAGATATTCATTGTTCTCACCAGAAACACTGCATGAAAGTCTACTGTGAGCAAGGGTATTTTGGACCCTAAAGCAAACTGTCTTCAAAGATTTACCAGTCTAGTGTTTCCTTCTTATCCTATTTATGAGTTCATGACATTTTATTTTTCCACTAAAGTATGAGAATATAGGTCATGCAATCTGTTCTTTTTAGTGCACAGCTTCTCTTACTTATTTGAATGCTTTTTAAAGATGATGCTGATAAAAGATGATGACAACAGTGGCAGTGTTACTGTAATAGTCTTTGCTACACTTACCCCTTCCCTTATTTTTCCCCAAGATACTCAACTGATTGTGTTTTCTAAATCTGTTATTTCTAAATCCTTTCTAGGTTAGGATTGGAGCATAAACTGTATAGCTATAACATGTCCAGGGGAAGAGATATCAGTTCAATCAACATAGCCCTGGAGGTTGAGTCATGTCCATTGTTTCCACAGTTTAACATGTCTTTTTATTATTTCCTGGTTATTTATGAATTTTTGACATATCACATATCATATTAATGCATCTTGTGTTTACCATGAGCAAGATGACTAATTTCATAATTTAAAAAAGCTTTTTTTTTAACCTTTCTATCAACTTACTTATCTACTTATATGTGTGTTTGTGTTACCCTTCTCATGATTTTTGAACCACTGGTTCATTTATGTACATGATTAGGAGGAAATTATAGTGGTGAGTTATAATTTAAAGCTAATCTGGAATGATACTTACATTGGATTAGTAGTTGAATGTAATTTTGATCGTAAGATATATCATTCATTGGGCAGAGGTAAACAAAGGAAGAGACAGCTTTGGGTCTAAGTAAGGATTATCAGTCACTGGAAAGGTTATAGTAATTGATTGAGGTACGTGTGCCCCTTTCCTGTATCCTTAAATTCTTCAGTACTTTTGTGCATCCATCACCAGGACCTGATGTTACTGAAAATTGCTTTAAAAATTCTCCATTTCATAGGCACTGTGGGAGCAAATACTACATATACTCCACTAGACCCTTTTGTTTTTAACATTTCAGTACACACACCAGTTCCAGTGTCTAGAACAGTCATTTGTTTTAGCTTCTGGGGCTGCTGAAATAGCCCCGGTAATAGGTTAGGAGTGGCCAAGTCACTAACAGTATTGGGAGTACCCTCCAATGATGACTAATCATGATTGATGTCTAAATATCTGTGTTCCCTCTTTTCTTGGCCAGGACAACTCTTGGGTAACTTTGAGACACATGATTTATAGGAAATGAACTAGTGGAGGTTTCAGTTACCTACAGTAAGAGGTGGTATATATCTAATCCTTCACTGGCTGTCTTCATTTCCCCCGTTTGACTTCTGTTTGGTGGGACTACTTTTGTTCTTCACCTTCCAAGTAAACAACTTGCACTTGCACTTGAACAATTGGGAATTGGAGCAGGAACTATCTCAAATCAGCGCCTGCAATTAATGGGAATGCAAGTATTGACAGGAGGTTGAAGAATTGATGATGGTGGAAGTTTCTGGAATATATTTCTGAGGAGAGTGATTCTCAATTGTACATTGACGTTTTGCAGATTTCCACATACCTAGTACATGTTATGCCCCATTCCTAGCATTGTGACAATAGTTTTATTTCTTACTTCTCACATAAGAGTGTATCATCAGACTGTAGATGCACAAGAATATTACTACCAGAGCATCTGATTGAGTATATAATGCAAGTTCCAATATTTTCACTCATGAAATTATTCTTCTTTGAGACACACAATATTTGATTGGCTATATTACATGGCACAAACTAATTGTTGAGAACCACTGTCTGAAGAGACCTGTGATTTCTTTCTTTGGCTCACTGACAACTAACATAGCCCAATCAAAACAGCTGCTGAGTCAGAGTTGTATATGTTTCTTGCTAAAGTGGCAGACTTTCGCATCATACATTCAAAACTAGCTGAGGTTCAGTAGTTGAGTAAATATTGTGTGATTTTAAGTGTGCATATCTAGTTCACTATAACTACGTACCATAACTAATTTTAAGGGACCAGTGAAAATGACATAGAACTTACACACTTACTTCCTTTCAAGTAGTACATACAAATTTATAAAAATTCAAGAAAGCAGAAAAGAAAATGGTGTCATCTGCAAGATTCTCAGACAGATCTATCTCTACTATTAGGATTTTTTTTTGTTTTTGTTTTATGCAACATATGTAATTGGGCATTTTCCAGAGTTAACTTTGAAAACATAAATTTAAGATACAGTATAATTTTATGTTTTATTAGAGATTCAGAACTACAAATGTCCATCTTTAGGATATCTACCTATTGAGCTCTTCTAATTTTCCTAAAATATTATCATTGTAGAAAATGTGAAAAATTTGGATTTGAATTTGAATTAATATTTTATTTGTTGCAATCATTATTTAGGAAAATGTTAATATTTAATATATAAACATTATTTTAGTACTGGTGAATATTTCTAATTAAATAAAGTTGCTTCTACCTGCTGTACTTTATATAAAGTGTTTTTTAAGTATCTACATTTCAAGCATTCTCTTGTTTTGTATCAGAAAAGGTTCATTTTATCTGAGGATTTTATGTGTGTTTGAAACAATTTATAGAAGAAAGGAAAATCTTTTTTAGGGGAGCTATATGTTTTTTAAGTCTAACTTCTTTATACTTATATTTTACAGATTAAAGAAATTACCTGAAGACAAAACATTATATTCCTCAGAGACTGGACAAGAGCTACTCTTGCTTTTGGCAATTAAAAATGATGTCATGGAAACAGTTGATCCTTCTTTCTCTCATTGGCTGCCTGGGAGGTAACAATAAATTACATTTTCTAAGTTGAGGTTAAAACTATTCTTCATTCATATGCCTCAATAGTGTTTAAATGTTGAATAAAACTTATCAGTGGCAAAGAAAAACAAATATTTTTTCCTTAGAAAATTAATTTTAGCACTTCTGATAACTGGATTTCCATTGCCTTTTCCCACTAATTTTTCCAATGTGTTTTTTGAGAGAAAATGTGTCAATGCCTACTATTAGAGATCTATTATTGATTTATAGTTAGTATTATAAATAGAGCAACCAGAGTTTGAGAATGTAAATTAAAGAACTTTATCCCCCCAAAAATGAAAGTCGTAAGCTCTAGCATACAAGAATATAAAATTTAAAATGTATCAATATTTTCATATGAAATACTGAAAAAATAATACTGTTTTTCTCTTAGCACATGATGCAGATAGTCTTATTTTTTAATTGTTAGAGAATTTAGAATCTAGAATGAAGTAAAAAGAAAAAAAAATCTGTATTTGTAGCATATAAAATGAACTCTTGTAAATCATTTATGAGTTTACTTTGTTAGTTCATTTTATTGTTTCCTATATGAGAGTTTTAAAAAGTAAAGTTATATATATATATATATATATATATATATATATATATATATATATTTTAGCTTATTGTTTTCTTCCTTTTTAGGATAAAAGTTGTCAAACATGTATTGAGCTGAAAGAATATAACTAACACCCACATATGGACTATTTAGGATTGCTATTGTACTACTTTATTGTATTATTTATCTGTGTGCATATATGTTCACATTTTGTTTTATTTTTTATTTACTTTTGGCTAACCCATTTGAAACGGGTTACAGAAACCATCTCTCACCCCTAAAAAATTCAGCACTTGTCTCCTAAGAACAATATTCTATTCAAACACAATTTCTTTATGATACCCAAAGAAAACTAACAACAACAACAACAAAGTTGCTTGTCTCTTCCCTTTTCGAAGAGGAGGGAGTTGTGAAATGAGGCCAAATGGAAGTGTCAGGTAAAACACAGGGTATGCAGCAGTGTGCTGAATGGACTTCTAGGGTTCCACCTTAAACTTTAGAACAGCTGTCTTAAGCATTTGAAGGATACGAGTGTAGCAAAAGTTCATAAACAATAATGATAAAGTAGCTAAAGCTAAAGCTTACTACTTTTAAGTATTTTTTTACAGTTTTTATATATTTTTACTGTGATGTCTCAATTGTTGCTAAAATATTTTATTTGACTCAGCTACTAATTTAGTACTGATAAAGAAACGAGTAATAATAAAATTTTTGCCTTTTAAAATGGACTTTAGAGAAAGATCAATAGAGATATCAAAACTGAACTATTTTTATTCTTGAATTCTCTTCTTCATTTGCAAAGTTTTGAATTTATTTTCTTTTAATAAAAGGAGCAAAAATAGCAGGCAATAAACTGCAGCAGTGTTATTCTTTGTGATATTAAATTTTATAGTAACAATCTTGAAATTTCCCAGCTGTGGGAAAATAAATTATACTGAGAAAGGGGAAGTACACGGTAACTGGAGAAAATAAGATCCGTTTTTCAAAGGTTAAAATGTTTATTTGGAATTTTACACCGTAGGCTAATTGTACTGATCAAGTTTCTGCATTTTTTGAGAAATGTGGTATATGTTTATAGTAAATTTATAGAAAAAGCAATGTCCATCTTACTCAAATGTAAATGAATCATTAAAGAATATAAAGTTCAATTCAAACTTGGATATGGTGATAAACATTTTTAAGAGTTTAAAAGGGGGAGCAGGGATTTAGCTCAGTGGCATAAGCACCTGCCTGGCAAGCACAAGGTCACAAGTTAGATACCTGGTACCAAAAAAAAAAAAAAAAAAAAAAAAAAAAAAACCAAAAAAAACAAAACTAAACAAAACAAAAAAACCCAAAAACTATGAAAAATTCAAGTAATATAAATATAATGAAGCCCATATAGTGTAATACTTAGGAAATTGGCTTTCATCATTCTTATATTATGGAGAAAAATTGGGCTTTTAAAACTTTTTTAAAGTATTGCTTATACACTGTACATTCTATACTGCATTTTGGGTTCCTGGATCTAGGTAAAATTTAGAAAGAAAGGCTTGCTTCTATGTGTGATACTCTGTTAAATAGTAGGGCATTTGCTAGGTAGAGCATTCAAATAAATTTGTGATTTAGGGACTATGCTATGTATTTTAGATATTAATACAAGAAAGTAAACAAACTTAGGGGCTAGCAGAAGAAATAAACTCAATAAATGCCATAGCTATTCGATGTGTTGTGTTTTCTGTCTTCTCAAATTTTTGTTATGTTTGTGCATTTTCTTCCTTTTCTTCTGCTGTTTTTGTCTGCAAGTTTTCTCTATAACAAAGACAACAAAGAAACCAATAGTAATTTAACTAGGTTTTTACCAAAAAATGCTAAGCAGTCATTCATTATCAACATTCAGTATACAATGCATAGTTTACAATAGATACTCTTTAAAAATTAGTTAAAAGAGCCAAGTTCTATTCCATAGTTTAATTATGGGATTGCTTTTTCCCTAATACACTCTGCATAATAAGACAGATATGAAATATTCCAGTTTCACTTACCAACTCTTAAAGAACCTTTTTTCTGAACAAATAATTATTAAGATCCTTTATGTGTCAGTCTCTATTTTCAGAAAATGTATGAAGATCATTGTTTCTGTGGAATTTTCAGACATCCGTCACATTGAAACTGACAATGCCATTGAGTTAGAAGGAAATGGTACTGTGGGACGGGGTGGAGAGTAGGGTGAGAGTGTGGAGCATGAGATGTGGGTTACTACTTTAAATAAGGTCTTCAAGTCAGTGGTCATTGTGAAGGTTATATGTGAGCAAAGATTCTGTGGGGAGAAGCTGACTGTGTGGATATCTAGAGAAGAAATCTCAGGCACGGCCCTCATGTATCCTGCTGAAGTTTCAAAATCCGCGATAATGTCAGCCTGGTCAGCTTGGGTTGTAGGCCCGGGAGGAGTTATGTAATGGAAGTGGGAGATAAGAGCCACTAGGAAATGTGAAAGTGGACACAGTGCAAAATGGACATAGCGCTAAAATCATTTTGAACTTTCACTCTAAATTCTCTCAGGAGACACACGGTTGAACAGAACAGTGGGGTGATCTGGTTTATTTCTCTAAAGGATGCTGATGGTTTCCATGTCGCAGATTGATTGCACAGAAATAGAAGCCAGTAGGGGCACAGTTGGACAGTGATGGGTTAATCAGGCAAGGGGCTTTGGTGGCTGACTCCAGGATGGCAGCATGGTTGGAGCATGATGTTTTGAATATGTTTGAAAGGCTGATATATGAGTGCTTTGAATATGTTTTGGAGGTTGAACTATAAGATGCAGTTTAGTGTGAGGCATGAGAAAAAATGATGAGTTGAAAATAACTTGCAGGCCTATACAATTCTGTTTGGAGTTAAGTTACCTCTGTTCATATAAAAGGGTGTACAGAACAGGTGAATTGAAAATGCATTACCATATAGGAGTGAGGGTTTTACAAAGGGAAGGTGACTCCTCAGTACTGGGTAAAAATGTCACCTTCATGGTCTAGGACCAATATTTTGAATTGGAATGGATAAATTACCATTTTAAAAAGATGAATTAAAAATATCAGAATGTACCACCCACAAAATAGAGTAAATATTGTCTCTGTTGAGTAATTCAAGGCATCTGGGGTTTAGCAGTGAACAGAATTGATGATATCCCAGTATTTATAGAACTGACATTTTAATATATGTCTTCTGGGCCCGGATGCTACATGCTTTTCTTGCTGAATTTCAGAGCCAGAGATATAAGTAAAAAACAAAGACAGAGAAGAGAAACTTTTCTATTCTGAACATCTGACAAGAAGCCAGAAAGGAAGTAGCATCAGTGAAGTTTAAAACAGTATTAATGATACAAAAATCAACAATTGTATTAATAAATGGGAACTCCTTACCTTGGTCCAGGCACTGTGGCAAGTGCATTATTTCTTTTTCTATTTTAAAGATGAAGAAACAGTCTCAGTAACTGCCAGTCAGCGTGGTTATCTGAAGCATTTTACCTCTGAAATCACACTAGAATTTCTCAGTCAGTAGTGGTTACTTCTTGAATAGTTTCTTTTCTGGAATAAAGTCATGATTTTAGAGTAGGCTTATCCAACTACAGCAGTAGGCTGCATGTGCCTGTTAAAATAAAAAAAAAATATAAAAGTGCAAGGTTTGGTATATATATATATATATATATATATATATATATATATATATACATTAAATGTATCATGTATTTTATATGGTCCACAAAATAATGCTTCTTCACTCAGTGTAGCCCAGTGTGAGGCATTGATAAGTCACAGGTGCAGGTTTGATGTGCCTGGTTTAAACCATGGGCTAATAATAATTAAAGATCACAGGAGGCTATGCTTTACTACTTCATTGCCCATGAGTTAAATACTTGGCTGTTTTAGCTTACTCTAGATGTTTTCTGTCCATTGTAGGCAGCACAGCCACATACGAATATTCAGCATGTGAAATGTGGCAGACTAGATTGTGATATTCTGTAAAGGTAAAATGCACACGGAATTTCAAAGGGTTAGTATAAAACAAAACAAAAAAAAATTTAAGAGTTTAGAAAATACAATAATTTTTATACTGTTTATATTTTGAAAAGTTAATATTTTAGATATATTAGGTTAAGTAAAATACTGTTAAAGGTTAATGTCTCTTTTTTTAGCCATTCATATGCCTGTAGAGAATTTAAACTATGAGTGTAGTCTGTGTTATATTTTGTTGGACAGAATTGATCCAGGCATTTATGAGATAGAGACCTGAATGTTTTGCAAATGTTTTCTAGCATCTCCTGCTTACCCAAAGGGAAACCAGATTAATTAATATAATAGTGTCTTTAATTTCACACAAAAAGTTATAAATGCCTCCTGAATGTGTATTGCCTGTAAATACTGAATATTTTATAAAATGAGTTAAGATTTT